CGTAATTCAAGGGAGCAGGCCAGCGAGCGGTGTCCTTGCGCCGCTCGCGCCATTATAGTTGGTACAATAATACGCGTGAATGGGCATGGAAAGTGTTATCGATGGGAACCGGCATGGGCATTGTTTTATGGTTCGCTTCTAAATGGTCCATCCATCACGCTTTATCTTGATGGAGTATTCTGCCCGGCTATTCATCCTTCAAAACGTTCCTCCAGCCGCAGCGAGCGTTGTCGCCTCGCTAGCCCGCTAATTATTAGCCTTTCGTTCATTGTACCGCGGGAACGGTGAATGCTCGCCCCCGAAGAATCACGCTTTTCGTCTTCCAAGACGCTCGATCCTCTTACTCTTTAACCCGCGTCTTCGTTCGTCGTTTCTACCCGTACCTTCACGTACCCAAAGTGTGGTTGTTACTTCGAAATACCATCTTTCCTCTGGATTTAGATTTTTCCTTTGTACAGTATAGAATAAAAGTTGTATTGGTATATTTTATTTTTTCAGTTTAAATGGTTTGGACGTTTGACGTTGGTTAGTAGGTTTGAAACTTTGTGAAGGTGTCGAGGTTAGGGTTTTTGAATGCTACTTCATAAAGATATTGGAACCTTGGAGACTCCAGAGTCCTGGAGAGTCCAAAATTGTAAAGAGGACACCTTTGCAATGCCAAATTCACTAAAATATTGGAACCTTGGGGACTCCAGAGTCCTCGAGAGTTCAAAAACCCCAAGATCACATCTTTGCAATGCCAAATTCACAAAGATATTAGAATCCTAGGGACTCTATAGTCCTCGGAAGTCCAAAAACCCCAAAATGACACCTTGCAATGCCAAAATCACAAAAATATCGATACTTCCAAGAGAAACTCTCCCTGCGAGTCAAAGAACTCTCGTTACCCACTGCCCTAATAATCAAAAACCCACAAAAAAAATACTAAAATACAATTTTGCAGCAGCAACAATAACAATTCGCGTCACAAGAGAAAGACACATCGTGAACATCAGCGACAAAATGTTTGAACGAGCACTCGTTGGATTATTAACGTCTGCACGTGTCGATATGGTCGTCGTGACGCGAGATGCGAATCCCTGAAGCGGTCCGGATATTTTCAGCCCTCGGTTGCTACACGCCGATCCGCTTGATTTAATTTAACGTTATACTCCGTAGTCGAATCTCTCTTCCAGCAGTCGGATTTGCATAAGAATTTCACCGGAGGCGATAGAGTCCGGGAGAGACTTCGTTAAAGAGGATTTTACAAATAATTTCGCGAGCACACGTGACTTCTCCAGTTTCTCCCCCCGCGAAAACTCTCTCTCCTCGAGTATAAACGCGTCAAAGTCGACGTGTTTTTCCTCTCTCTCTTGCTCGCTCTTTTACCGTCCCCTCTGGGTGTCGTGTATTTTTAACACTGCTATTCCTCCACCTCGTCCCCATCCTGACTTCTCCTCGCTCGACAAATACTCTCTGTTAAAAGCGTGAAAGATCTGTCGTCCCCGTCCTCGTTGTCCTAGCTGTCGAAAGTGTACAACGCGACGGCGATGTGTTTCGGCGAGTTTTTAAGGGTTGGAAAATTGAGGCTCGCGCCACTCGCTTACACGTTTCAATTAGCATCGTAACTGGTCGACTTCCTATAGATAATTTCCTATTAATATCCTCGCTACAAGCGGTGACCTGGATCGATCAGTTCCAGGACTCTTTACCCTGCCCCTTGCCCTTCTCGCCCTCTCTCTCTCGCGATGGTGGCGTATGGATTATTTTCGTCGCAGAGGCGATCGATCGTTCGATGAGATCGAAGGGGAAACGATGGAATTCTGCGGAGTACCTAGAATCTTTGAAACTTGGACTGTTTTCAGAATCCAGCATTGCCAAGGTATCTCGAAGCATCGAGGCTGGCGAAAATTGTAGGATCCTCGATGTTTCCGTAGTTTTTGAGAATTTAACATTGCAAAGCTGTCGTGTTGGAACGTTGAGGGGATTCCTGATCCACTCTGAGAGCTCGATTCTTTCGAGAATCTGGCGTTGTATGGGTGTTATCTCGAAGCTTCCAGGATTTTGGTGTTCTTAAAATTCCAATATTTCGACAATTTAGCATTGCAAAGATTCTTGAAACACAGAAACCCACTGGACTCTTCGAAATATCAAATTTCTGCGAATTTGGCGTTGCAGAGGTGTCATTTCGAGGCTTTCAAACTCCGTGGAATTCTGGTCTATCGAAAATTTCGATATTTCCATCGATATTCGTCCAGGAAACTTCCAGGTAGTGACCGAAATATCAATATTTATGTAAATCTACCGTTGCGAAGATGTCATCTCGAAACTTTCCAACTCTCCAAGACTCCGAATCCTTGGAAATTCCGATAATTTGAAAAATTTAAGGTCGTCGCATCGTTGCATCCCTCAAGAACTCGAAAAATCCCCCGAAATCGCGAAAATCGTGACCCTCGAGAATCCCACGAATCCTATCGAGACGGTGAAATTTTGTTTGATTGCAGGTAATATGGGTGTGCATCCTCTGTCGCAAGAAGCAAGAGCTGCTGTCGAAGACCGGACAATGGATAACGAAGGCGGGCGGCCTGGGCGCCGGGGAGAACGCGATGCTGCGACGGATGCAGGACATGCAGGTGGGTGGTCCTCCGGGACTCGTGGACCAAACTCAGGATAAAAGACCGAAACTCGAGAGAGCGCACAGCGCGGCCGAAAAGGAGAATTTGCCATTGTTACTAAGGAGCGGAAGTCTGCTCAGAAGACAGTACTCTCAGCAAGAGCAAGTACGATTTACTTCACATTTTAAATGTTAGACCACGGGGAGTGTATATATACACCAAACTCCCTGTTGGTCGTTAAACTAGCGCTCGTGCACGCACTGTTGCTCTGGATGTACAACAAATAATAACAACAGCAACAACAGCTACAACAATTGCTACGAAATATAATGTTATATTCGGCCGAAGCAAGGCGATGCCATTCTTTTGGTATATCTCGCCATTTCTCACTGTGCTCATTATCACTTTGCCTCATTACTCTTCTCCCTTATCTTTGGACAATGACGATCATTTCTTTCACCGGACATTCCGAACGACTTACAAATGTCGTTGTATTACAACACTTTGACTGCTAAAATCTCATTTCTCAACTCTTCAAATTCACCAGTCAAAGTGTCTCCAATTGTCCAAAGATTCAACCACAAAACGCATAACCGTCACCACATGCTGATATCACCAAACAAAAACAAAACCAGAAACAAATGCAACCAAAAAATAAACAAATCGCACTGTTTGCATCCATCACTGCAACCCACACGCGACGAATAACCGAAACGATGGGCGAACACGACGCGAAAAAATCGCAGTTTCTGCTGGCGAATTACAGGGCCCAGGGCGTCGACTGTCGACGAGCGATAACGGAGTGGACATGTCCGTTTCGCCTCACTCGAGAAGCCTGCCGACGCCTCACGTAGCCTCGGCTCATCAGATGCAGCAACCGCCCAGGCATCCGGGCGCGTACGCGGAGGATGACCCGAATCTGTACAGGGGCGAGATCGACGGTCTCATGAAAAAGCAGAACTACCAGAGGCAACGGCCGATCTACCCGGTGAGTGGGACCAACCTCCCCCAAGTACTTCTCCGAAATTGCCGTCGAAGCCTGGATCGAAAACTGTGCCTAAAAAAAAAAAAAAAAAGTACAAACGCGTCGGACGACGCGTTCACAAAAAACCGGCCTGTGCTCTGTCTATCTCTGTTCTCTGTCTCTATCTCCTACTCGACACACACAGACGCTTGGAAATTAAACATTCAACAAGTATATGCACACCGTGTATATAGAACCAGATCTGCGTAGGAGCGGACGTTAACGACATTCTTACGTAGGCGTTGTGCATTCGAGAGGATCTTCTCGACGACGATAACTACTACTACTACTACGATTACTACCACCTAATACTACCACACGATACAACGAAAGAATATAACAAAAATACAAAAAAAAAAAAGGGGAATTTATTTCGATGGACACTTCTCTGCTCGGACAACTTTCTACATCGTTCTTCACCCTATCCTATCTCTCTTCATTTCTCATTTCATTTCATATCGTTCATTTTGTCTTATGCTTCTGCGCTCTGTTTTTTATTATATTATATCTCGATGTGTCCACTGTGAATCTTGACTTGGTCTGCGATATTATTCTTGGTGTTTCTCTTCTATACAGGGTGTCTCGCTTGTAACGACGATCTAAGTTACCCTCGTTTTGCTATTGAAATTAAGGAAAAATTACCAAGAGGAGTTTACGATAAAGAAAAGTTCCCTCGATGTTACTTCGGAGAACCTTCCAAGATCACCAATATCTTTTTTGCATTATTCAGTGAACTCGCGAACTCGTCAATATGCAAAAAAGATATCTACGATCTTGAGAACGATCTTCAAGATGATTTTCAGGGGATTTACTTTTTATCATCGCCAGATGCATGTTTATAAATTACACAAACTCTTCTTGGTCCTCTTTTTCTTACCGTCAACAGCAGCGGAAGTAGTTCAGTTGTACAATCGAGACACCCCGTGCATTTCGTTTCGACGAAACGTGATTTGTTTCGTTCGTTTTGCCTTGCAGGATCAGTACGCAGACCTCGTGATGACATATGGTCCGCCAACGGTAGAAGCAGGCCCACCGCGAAGCTCGGTGCATCCACCTCAGCAATATTCGGTGCATCAAACGCAAAGTGCTCACCCCTCGCAACCAGTGGGTGGCCAGGCTGGTCTCCAGCCACAGAGGAGCTTCAGCAGCAGCGAGGAAGAACGAATCACGCCCGTGCCTGACGAGTCCGAGAAGGGTGAGTCCATGTGCTCGATATGTACTTGCCACTTGTTTCTATTCTTTTTACGTCTGACGATTCGATTAACGAACGAAAGTCCTCGTGATCGATCGACTCACGAGAATTCACGCGTTCCGTGTATTCTCGATTTGCCTTCTTCTGTTTTGTCCTTTGTCAGTAAAGAACTTTTAGACGATTTCAGAGTGTCGAGTTTGAATCGTTCGTTGGAAATTAAAGATTCTCGCGCGGCCTCCATTTTTAGGGGAATTTCATTTCTCCGAGGGAGAAAAATTGCGACGGAGGTGACATTTTGAGGGAGAAATTGCTTGCAAGTGTTCGTTCGTTCGTTCTTGGTTATCTGTGAATTCTTTTTTTTTATCATTTTGTCGTTTGAATTTTTTTAAATGCAAATTTGAAAAGTTGTTTAATTTCTTAACTTCGTTTTGTATAATTCTCGGCTATCGTTCGATGCACCGAGCCAAGTAGAACTTTCTCTGCGTCAATCGAAGAAACTGCAATTTAATAATAACTACTCGGTGGTAATGTTTCTCCGACGATCTTTACATTGCTGACACTATTTAACGCTAGGAACTGAACGAACATTTGCGTCGATTTAACGACAGGCAGAAGTCTTTAGTAACGTCGGAAGCCGGTCTGAATGGGCCAATACGGGCTGGAAATAAACGTTCGAGTTGCCGCTAGTTCAAAGTTCATCGCCACTGACAGCAATATATATTGGCCGTTACTCTTTCGTGGAAATGTCACATCCCTCGTATAATTCAACAGTGACGCGGTTAAACGTCAAATCCAGCGTCGAATTACCGTCAGAGGCTGGCGTTTAGAGGATCGGCTGCGACGGAGACATTAGAGGGCGAACGCTGGCCTGGGAGGAGGGTCAGCATCGCCCTTGAAACTCTCGCTGCACGAGGAGAGCACAGGCTTTCCGTGTCAGCGGATAATTGGTTTACGGAGAATGTGTGCAACCTGTATTCGCGATATTTACAGGCAAGCCGAGTCGAAGGAAAGTGTAATCGACCGATCCACGATGCTCATGCAGTCTAAAAAGCGCCGCGGCACGTACCTACGCGTGTTTACAAAGCGATTAACGCTTCTATGTAGCAAACCTGGCTGAGATCGATCTCATTTTACCGATAAACATTGCTTTAAGAATTTTCCAAACTCTCGAGGAGATACCGAACGTCGGTTTCGATTGATCTGAGAGCGTTGAAAGGATTTATTTCGAGACATAGTGTTTTATAGATGAGCCAGTTTGAAAAGTTAACATTTTTAAGACACCGAGCGAAAGGGTTAATTGAGAGCAACTTTGTCACTTGTAACGTGAACTTAGACACGTGAAATATTCTTTCGAAAATCGCTTTACAGTTCTCGGAGAATCTTGAGAAGATCAAAGAAGTCTTAAAGGATCTCGAAAGTTTGATGAAAAACTGGTATTGTCAAATGGTATACAGGGTTGAAAAGCAGCGCAGATGCAAATTTTCTGTTTGCCCGTACGAAGGTGGGGAGCAGAGGAAAAAGTCTTGGAGCAAATGAAATATTTGAAATAGGAAAGTAGGTCTACTCGTGGGATCGACTCGAATGGAGTGGCAGATGAAAAGCGATACCGCATTATCGCGAAGGCGGCAGCACGGTGCGCGAGGGGAAGTGTAACCGGGTTCCTCCTCCTTGGCTAATGAGTAAATTTAGGTTACCGATACCGGGGATTCTCTTCTTCCCACCCTGCCCCTCCCACGTGTTCCACGAGAACACTCGACGCCACACGGCTCGCTTTTATGCGACGCATTCGAGCCGGTTTTCGAGTACGAGGGGCGGAGAATACGCGTATACGTGTGGTTCACAGTTGATTAGTGACAGGATCGGTGAACTGTGAACCGATTCATCGGGGTGCGCATCATCGAGAAGAGGGGAGAAAGATTCGCGCGTGGGCTAACAGCAAAACCCCTCCACTGCCACCCTTTCTGTGCGTTCTCGTTCGTCTTTTCTTCTTTTTCTTTCTTTTTCACTCATGTCGATTCTTTTTTATGCTGCAACGACGACGACGGAGATGAATGTTTCCCCCTTGGAGGGAGATTTGAGGGGAAAGTGTGTCTTTGATTTTTGATTTTCTGTTCTTATACTTTTACGTCGGTTCTCGATCGGTAACATTCTTTTCTCCCCTCGGTGTTTCCTAAGAGATTCTCCATTGAAATGTGTAAGAGGGTTAAAAGAGAAGGTTTTTTTTTCGTATCGAGAGAGCGAAGAAATCCTTGCTCTGGTGAATTTTTCTTCCAATTTTTCCAATCCTCTTCCCGGAGTATCCGAGTTGACCAGGGATGATGCGTGGACTCCTCTCCTCTGATCGGTATCCCAGTATCCTTCTAGCCGTTAAATCCTTGATCGGATCTCTTCACGATCGTGTATCGCGGCATATCGCACGGTATATCCTACGGGAATTCTCAGGTTCTGCCTTCTCTCCCTCTCCCGTCGTTGCATTGATTCTTGGCTATCCCCCCCCACTCCCTTATAGCTATTTTTCGTTCCACCCTTTCATGTAAGGTCTTATATTACTTATTGATTTCCGTGTAACGATTTTCAACAAAGTATTCATTCTATTATAAATTTCTTAATATAAATTACACAAACTAGAGACGTAGGAATCTAACACAGCATTGATAAAAAACCACGTGGAAAAAGATTCTCCTCCTACGGTCACCCATCTTAACACCTATTCCGACGATTGAAGCTTTACTTGGAAGATCGCCCCGACAAACCTACAGACAATCAGCTCCACTACGCTATCGATACAACCACTACTTAATTATACCCTTTCAGCCATCCTATCCTTCTCATCGCCGTTTCCACCTTTCTCCACCGATACTTTCCTCACAACTACCATACTTCTTCCATTCCTTCCGCTCTCCCCCTTTTGTCTCGAATCCGCGCATCGACCGTTCCTCCATCGAGCATTCCCTTTTCCGCATTTTCCCTCTCCACCCTTCTCTTGCTACGCCCACACGATCCGCGTGACGTCACGCGGCCAACACGTGGGCGAATTCAAACATGCTGCCCCTTTGCCTATTTCTGGGCTAGTCTTCCGCGGCAAAGAGGAGCAGAGAGTAGAGAGTAGCGAAAACAGCGCTCCTCCTCTTTCAGGGCTCCCATTCATTCCCTCCCCCGAAAACCCTTTTGCCTGGATCCCGAGGTTCGCACTCGATCCTCGCCTTCAATAGATCCTCCACCCTGGCCCCCGTGTTTACGCTTCTCGCTACTCCGAATCGATTTTACCCGAGGCCGCCGCTTGGAAAATTCGAGCCAGGTCCCGGATGAATATGGGGCCGCCATACTCTCTTCTCCGAGTCATGGAAAAGCCTCGGTGAATTCGTAACTCGCTACCACCGCGCTGCCTCGGATCTTTGTGATAATGAAATTGTGCGGAACAATGGCCAGTGCGGCGCAGCTCGCGGACTGTCGAATTCTACAGATGACGTTATTATCAATTACATCGAACTGTACAGTTGGGCGAAATTTTGTCCTCGAGGATGTGAATTTTGTATCAAACTTATTCCAAAACTTTCAAATTTTAACCACTGTCACTCGAGTCAATATTTTCTTCTTAGCTCAGTTTCTGAACCTCTTCTTAGGTAATTATTAGTTATCAAAATTCGTTGTTGTGTGAAGCATGTGAAAAAGTGGAAATTGTATTTTTCTCAAGCCTAATTTTGTATCAAGCAGTTAAAGAAAAAGAAGAAAGTCAGTGAACTTGGAAATTCCAACCAAGGTTTAGTATCTTCGCGACAATAAACTCCCGCAACAGATACTTTTATCAGCCTCCGTATCCGCGAGTTTGTTAACCCTTCGAATAGGGGTCTGCTTCGATATTTAATTCGTCCTGTAGACGTATCATAAAAAAATCGTTGACATCTGGTAGCACGAGATCCAGTATTAAACCCGTCTCGTGCCTCAGGGCTAGCTTCGTGACGTTTCTTCCCCGACACTGTGTCATGGGGATCTGATGAAATTATGATGAGGAGGTCTGGATTCAAAGATCGTTCGGATAGAGAGAGAGAGAGAGGGAGAGCAAGCCTCCTAAATCTTGCAGGACGAGTTTTACTAGGGAATTAATTCCGGCTATGTAGACGCGTCAAAGGGAAATCGTTCGTCAAGGCAAATATTTATGAAACCGTGAATCGATTAGTTAAACGTGAGAGCTACTTGAGAAACTGCTAGCTCGGTTAAATGATTATCGAGCTACACAGTGTGCTACACAGCGAATACTTTTACTTCTTTCTTTCTTTCCTTGCGGGTTAATTTTCGAAGAAGTGAATTTTACAGGGGAAGTATAGTACAGGGAGAAGGTTTTCCAATAGCGCGTCGAACGACTCTTTGTGCATCGACCCTCGAGACCCACGAAATGCACCGTCGGGACACGATGGCTGTTCCATCGAAATTTAATCCGAAGAGAGTGCAATTTGACGGTCGAGTAGGTGGAGCAGATGATTCGAGTTGCTCTTTGCATCCTGCGGGCTCGTGGCATTGTCCTTTTCTTGGGGATCACTGTCGGAATTCGAATTACTTTGTTTACAGGGATGAATCTTAATCAATTTCCTTAGCCGATCCGCCTCTGTCGATTTTATTCCCATCGAAATATTCCTTTATTTGGATAGTACTAAACCTCAGAATATCCACCATTCCACTATTTGATTCACACATTTTTTACATTTTTATCACTTAGGAATGTGATTTTTTATTTACAATAATCGATACTTCCAACGCTAAAGATTATCTCCTTTCCTAGAAAAATTTGCTACCGATATCGATTAACAGTAATAAAAAGAGAACGATCGATACAGATAATCAGCAACCGAGAAGTATTTTCACTCGCGTCTAATTCGAGGAAATAATTGCTACACTAAAGCTATCCATTATTCAACCCAGCATTATTTCCCTAGAAAAATGTCGCAAAATTCCACCGCTTATGCCCGTAATTCAGCTTTCCAATGGCAGTGGTTAACGCCTATTAG